CCTGCTCAGTAGAGACGGTAGTCACCAAACTCCCCAAAGTACCCTGAGCCTGACCCTATAACATAGCCCGAACTGTCCCACAGTCTCGAGCATCTGCCACTCCCGGGAAGCTACACTAGCTAAAACTCTCTGTGACCTTCGGCTAAGTGCATCAGCCACCACGTTTGCCTTACCAGGATGGTAATGCAAAGTGAAGTCATAGTCCTCTAAATACTCCATCCACCGGCGTTGCCTCATGTTAAGGTCCCGCTGTGTAAAAATATACTTCAAACTCTTGTGGTCCGAAAATACTTCAAACTGCTCACCATACAGGTAGTGACGCCAAGCCTTCAAGGCAAAGACAATGGCTGCTAACTCCATGTCATGTGTGGGGTAATTCTGCTCGTGATTCTTTAGCTGTCGAGAACCATAAGCTACTACCCTCCCAGACTGCATCAAAACACATCCCAGCCCGTCCTTCGAGGCATCACAATAGACCGTGTACCTCTGTCCTCGTTCTGGAACTATCAGAATAGGAGCTGAAGTAAGCCTCTTCTTCAACTCTTGGAATGCATTCTCACAAGAATCATTCCACACAAACTTGACATCTTTCCGGGTCAACTTCGTCATAGGTGCAGCCAATCGAGAGAAATCCTCAATAAACCGCCGGTAATACCCCGCCAATCCCAAGAAACTACGTATCTCGAAGACTGACTTCGGTCTCTCCCAATTCATAACTGCCTCAACCTTCTCCGGGTCCACGGATACACCCGAAGCCGACACCACGTGTCCCAGAAATTTCACCTCAGTAAGCCAGAATTCACACTTGCTGAACTTGGCATATAACTGATAATCTCTCAATGTCTGGAGAACAATTCTCAAGTGACTCTCATGCTCCTCCTCAGACTTGGAGTAGATCAAGATGTCATCAACAAAAACCACAACAAATTGATCTAAATAGGGTTGGAACACCCTGTGCATGAGGTCCATGAATGCCGCTGGAGCATTGGTCAATCCAAATGGCATCACTGTGAACTCGAAATGCCCATACCGCGTTCTAAACGCCGTCTTAGGAATATCTTCCTCCCTAACCCTCAATTGATGGTAACCGGTTCTAAGATCTATCTTGGAATAGACTCGTGCCCCCCTCAGCTGATCAAACAAGTCATCAATCCTCGGCAAAGGGTACCTATTCTTGATAGTGACCCTATTCAACTTTCGGTAATCAATACACAACCGAAGAGTCTTATCTTTCTTCTTAGCAAACAGAACCGGAGCGCCCCAAGGTGAAGTGCTCGGTCTAATAAACCCCTTGTCCAACAATTCTTGCAATTGTACCTTGAGTTCTTGCAACTCAGTAGGCGCCATCCTGTGTGGTGTCATAGAGATGGGAGATGTATCGAGATGCAACTCTATAGTGAAGTCCACATCCCTATGTGGAGGTAATCCCGGTAGTTCATCCGGAAAAATATCCTCATAATCACACACAACCCGAGGTAGACTTAACTCCTGCCTCGCCTCGTCTTCAAGGGTCAGGCTTGCTAGCCAACCCATCAGCTGCCCATGCCATCTGGAGTCGTATACTGCTTGGGGTAAAGCATCGTGCTTATCCCCTTGAAACATGAAACAAACCCCATCCGGTGTGTAAGCAGTGATTCGCTTTCGATCACAATCAATGACGACTCGGTGTGCCGCCAACCAATCCATCCCAAGGATCACATCGAACTCCGACATGTCCATGACTCGAAGGTCCATAGTGAGTAGAATCCCTGAGATCTCCAACTCACACCCCCGACATATCTGATCAACCCTCACCCTAGCACCTAGGGGAGAACTCACATGCAATGGCTCTTTCAAGGTCTCAACCTCTAAGCCCAAGTCATCCACACAAGATGCAGCAATAAATGAATGAGATGCACCAGAATCAAATAACACTCTAGCCCATAAGCGGGAAAGTAGAAATGTACCCTGTATCACCGACGGATCTGTCAGCCCAGTCTGTGGCATCATGGCGTAGACACGCCCCGAAGTCCCTGAAGTCCCGGCTTGTGAGCCCTGGCCTCTTCCTCGACCCATTCCTTGGCCCATCTGGCCAGCTTGCGGTGTCCCTGCACGAGAAATAGTAGGGCCTTGTGCTGCACCCTGAAACTGGTACTGGCTGCCCTGACCCGTAGTAGGGTAGTGAGGAGCATACTGCGTCTGTGGTTGCCCCACTGAAGTCTGAGATTGCGACGACCCATGACCCTGGGATCCCTGCCTCTGAGGACAATCCCTCTTCATGTGACCCGGTTGGTGGCAATGATAGCAAGTCCTCTGGCCAACCTGGTAGGAAGGTCTCTGATTTCTCCCACCTTGGGAGGATTGACTTTGGCCTTGGCCTTGATAACTGCGGTCTTGTACCTGAAATCCTTGTGGAGTAGAAGTCCTTTGCTTCTTCCTTGAGCTAGAAGAAGAGGATTGGCCTTCCTTCTTCTTGTCTTTTGCACCAGACTCCCGGATGCTCCTTGCGTCATCCACCTCTCTCTCAATGGCCAAAGCTGTGGTGACCATCAAGTCGAAGTCTTGTAGTAGAAGACCAACAATTTTACCTCGGATGGATAACTTCAGCCCATCCTCAAATTTTCTAACCTTGGCCATATCTGTGGCCACATATTGGTCAGCGAAACGTGCTAACTCAGTGAATTTAGCCACATATTCCATCACTGACATCGTTCCTTGCCTCAGATCTAGGAACTCCCGGGCCTTTGCATGCCTCGCAGTCGCCGGGAAGTATTTCCCCATGAAAAGTTCCTGGAACTCTACCCATGTCATGGCCTCCAAGTTCTTGGAGTCTTTCACCCAATCCCACCATACTTGGGATTCCCCCTCCAACTGGAATGTAGCTAGAGTTATCCTGGTGGCGTCAGAGGTGATCTCCATTGCCCTCAAGATCTTGTCAACCTGCCGGAACCAATGATCAGCTACCATCGGGTCCGCCCCTCCCATAAAGATCGGCGGTTGATGTGCCTTGAACTTCTGGAGATGACTGGAGCCTCCTTGGCCCCCACTTGTACCCGTCTGTGCAATAGTAGCGGCCGTAGCACTAGCTTGTGCAATGGTAGCCGCCGCTGCACCAATAGCCTCCATGAAGGCTTGTTGGTCAAAGGCCGGTGGTGGTTGGTTGTTATTCTGCCTACCACCTCTGCCTCGGCCGCGTCCTCTTCCCCTTCCTCTATTTTCCATCTACACACATGTCAAATAGAAACAGAGCATTTACTTAATATCCCAAGATAGAAGTCAAGTATTTAAACTTGAAGATTTTCCTCCTTGTTTCACTAGTAGTGCGTGTGCCACCTACTAGTAGACATTTACACATAAAACTATACCATTCATTCCTTTTTTTTTTTTGAACCCAAGGTTATGTTTTCTAACCCAGTGTTAGTTTTTTTTTTTTTTTTTTCATGTGCCTTTTACCATGCATATCATTCACCTAATCACTTAGCAAATAATCATGTTTCACATAACACGTTGCACAAAACATATAACAATTTAAGCACATAAGATGAGATGCACAATGCATGCAATGGTCTAGTCCCAATGCCCAACAAGCCTTAGGTAAATCGTATAACCTAGGCTCTGATACCAAGCTGTGACACCCCAAATTCATGGGGTCCGTTAATTTCCCATCAACTCATGGAATGCCCGTGGATACCGTATAACTCGATATCGCACCGTTGTGTCCCATTTACCAGGATCCATAATTTAACGAAATCCGGGCAGAGTCTCCTTTGTACGGGAAGCTCTACCCCAAAACACAATCTGTGCAATCAACATTTACATGACCCATCCGAGGTCCAATATAATACCATAACCACACAGGGTCCATTTTATACATAAAACTTGACCACACCGGGTCCAATCATCATATTTATATCAAAATATGCAAGGTTATATTAAAACAGTCCATATATACTCTATTACAATTCCTTTACACATTACATGCCAAAATTTAATTACAAATCTACTTTTACAAAAAAAAATGGATTGGAAGCCACAAGTCGACTTTTCTTCAACCATGTGACCCAGATTGTGAGCCGTCCATTGGTGCATGACCCACACCTGAAATGTTTCCCGTATAGGGTGAGCCAATGCCCAGTAGAATAATCCCTACAGAGGCTACTCATCACCTAAAATGCATATGCAATGTATAAATGCAACATTTCACAACAAGTATTCCCTCCAACAATAACATATAATACAATGTTGGAAAATCATGATGCCATGCCAAGTAATGAGATGAAACTCACCCATGCATGCTATCCCGAGCCCACACCGACTCCCACAACACAATGCGACACTTACGTGTAAAACAAACGTCTTTGATGAAACACATCCAAAGATCATTTTGAAATCAACCATATGTCATAAAACTAATTCATTCTTGGATGTTTCCCATCAAATGAATAATTTATATATCAAAATCATGTGCCTTTATGGGGTATCGGATTCAGGAATCGCACCTCCGGCTCCGTACGCCGTTACACTTTTCTGGAATTTCACCGCCGGTAAGTGTATGAACCAAGTGGTCGGGTTTTTCACCCGAGGGAGTGTCTAGCCCTACTTGCTATACCCGACACAAGTTTTCTTATGCATGTCACCGTGCGACTCCGTAGGACATTCCATCCCACTTTCCCGAGCCTACCATCAAGAACCAATGTTGGTGTTGATCACCCCATGCAACCCTACACCCACACTCATGCATGTAGCCCATGAATGTGATGTTAATTCCATGTCCATATTGCAATGCATGCCAAATGACAATTTTTAAATATCATTGTATACCATGACAATTAATATCATTTGCATATAATCACATAACCATTTCAAGTTCAATATACGCAAGAGCATATATCAACACTCCATCAACATGATAACACATAATACATGCTAATATTACATTTCATTCACAAGGCATAATATAAAACACAAAGCATGCCCACATGATCCCAATTTTCAAGGGATTACATAAATACTTCCATATACCAAAATCAAGCCAAGATTTTATATGGATCATTCAAACAAAATAAAAATCAGAATATATGATTTTTATATAATCAATTATCTAAACATTCAAGAAATCACAAACTAGCACTTTCTAACTACCAATTCACACTAAAATTGATCCTACCCATTTCCATAGCACCAATCATAATGGAAAAATCTTAGAAATACCCAAAACAGCCCACATGAACCCTATGGACACCTTAGGTTAGAAATAGGTCCGAGTAGGAGGAACCCTACCTCTTGAAGCGTAAAGAATTTGTAGAAAGCCTCAAGAACAAGATTGAAGTCCAAAGCTTAAATTTCTCCAAAATCCTCCCTTTGAATCTTCGGTGAAAATCTTTATTTTTGGTACCCACGCGTAGCTCTCGTCGCGTAGATCGACTTTAATTCTTGGCCCGACGAATTCCGACCGACGGAACTCCGAGAATCGGCGAAAGAAAGCTTGAAGAATTTTATTTTTTCTCCTTAGCTCTTTGGTTTGATCCAGCCGGCAGCAAATGAAGAAAATGAAGAGCAAATATCTGATTTGCTCACTTTTATACCTTCTAAACACTTGGCCCTCGTCGCGCCAAGTGTCATCCTTTGTCCGGGTCCGTTTTCATCCCGAAACGATTAAATTTCGTACCGATTTAAACTCAAAATATTTTATATGAACTTTATTTAAAATATTTTTTAAATTTTCAAATTTTTATAAAAATTTCGTTTTTAGGGGTCATCGAACACCCGTCACCTCGAAAAACGTGAAAAATCTGACTATCTCAGAATTCGACGAAATTTGTCTGGGTAACTAGATTTCGTGAGACGAATCCAATGGTGAGGTCCGTTTCATCATCCGAGGTCTATAAAAATACCAGTTTTTTTTTTTTTTAACTCACACTATAATGGCAAATTACCATTTTCCGTTTTTTTTTTTAGAAAAAGTTAAAATTTTTCCCGGGTTTCACATCACTAAAGTTCCAAAATTAAGCTTGGAGAATTCAAGGGTTTTGGGTGAAATTGGGACTCTTGAAGGCTTCTATCAAGTGGGTTTACGCTTCAAGAGGTAGGACTTCTTCCTACTTAGGTTTATTTACAACCTAGGATGCTTACATGAGATGGATAGTTTGATAGAAACTTGTATCATTTATCTATGTTGGTGAAAATGATGAAATGGGTATTAGAAATGGTTTAAAATGAATTTCTTGCTTGGAATTGATATGTGGTAATTGCTTGTGCAATTCCATGGAAATGTGATTTATGGGCATGTTTTATGTGTACATTATTGCCTTGATGAGTTTAGTGAGTTAAGTGCATGATTATGTTATAACATGTTTGGCAATTGTAGATTATGGACATTTTATGCTTATAATGTAATGATCCATAGTATGTGTTGAAAATAGTTCATATGACATTCATTACATATTGAATATGATGATAGTCTTGTAATGGTGCATTACATTGTATTTGCACGGGAACATCGCATTCATGGGCATCGTCATGGGTGTGGGCATGCGTGCATGTGTTGGATCAAACACCACACTTGGTGGATAATAAGTGGGCTTGATACCGCTGGACCAAGGTTCAACAGAGTCGCATAATTGCATGAAAAACTTGTGTCGGATATAGCAAGTAGGACTAGACTCTTCCTCGGGTGCCAGACTCGGCTGTTGGTTTTATACACTTCCTATGGTGCAAGTCCAAAAAAGTGTATCGGTTTACGGAGCCGGCGGTGGGACACCAAAAGTCCGCTACCCAACAAAGAGACATAATTTTGTTTTATAAAATAGTCATTCAATGTGTAACATCCAACAATGACTTGATTTTATAACCACATGACTTATTTCAAAATGATAATTGGATGTAATTCATCAATGATGGATTTTTCATGCATTGGCATTGCATTGTGTGGAGGGAACTAGGAGGGCTCTGGGAAAAGGGCATGATTGAGTCTTATCTCATTTCATGGCATGGTTTGCTAAGATTTCAACATTGAATAATATATTTTTGGTTGGGATGTTGTTGGTGGTAAAATGTTGCATGAACATTCATATGCACATAGGTTGGGAAGTAGCCTTGGTAGGATATACTCTACTGGGCGTGGCTCACCCTATATGGAAAAATATTTCAGGCACGGGAGATATGCCGATGGACAGCTCGGGCCTCGAGGATGAAGAGAGGCCGCTTTTGGCCTTTAACCTTGAATTTTGTAAAATGTTTGAGAAAAAATATATTTTGGCATGTAAATATATTAAATCATTTGTAATAGAACTTGTATGTATCAAGTCTTATGTGAAAAAGTATATTTTACATGTTTGGGATGTTTTTGGGAAGGCTTGGAATGATTTGGAAAAGAAAAACGAGCGCAACAGACAATTTTGGGCAAAACCTACTGGTAGAACGGCAAAACCTACAGGTAGAATGTTGTCCAGTAGGCAAAACCTACCAGTAGGTTACAGGTAGAACTTGCCTAGCAGGTAAAACCTACCGGTAGATTACAGGTAGAACTTGTCCAACAGGTAAAACCCACCAGTAGATTACAGATAGAACTTTTCTAGTGAACAAAACCTACGGGTAGGTCCATAAAAACCTACCGGTAGCTTTTCCAAAAATCTAAAATTTTAAGAATGCATTGCCATGCTTTTTGGGCTATGTGTTCTTTAGTTCCAAGGGTATAAATGGACATCGAATGAGCATAAATTGTAGCATATTGGACCTTGATTGGGCCAAATGGTAAAACATACATGAGTTAAACATGTGGGTTATAATCTCGATTAAGGGAATGTTATTGACGTGTCGCCTAGTTGTGCGACAATTATGGTATTTCCACGGGTTGATAGGTAGTCAACGGTTAATAAATGACCTCCAGTTTAAGGGGCGTCACGATCTCTCTTAGTATGTTATTAAGATAGGTTTGATTAATTATACTTGAGAATTGTTGGTATGAGTATTGAAGATTCGAACTTAACAGTTAGTGGTGATAATTGGAAAGAAGTAATTGGAGGAATCAAT